CATATTCTTGGGGTTATAGGAGAAAATTTCGGTGTGATGCTTCTTTTCTGAGAGATTTTGTTCGGGTTAGGATGGTTTTGAGTTAATAGTGGCATGCAACGACTATTACTTACCGGCGTTGCAAATCAGAGGTAGATTGCTTTCGGATTCTTAATCTAATCCACATTTTTGTATTCATGATCACAGCTATATGCACCTGTACCTTTGGCGCCGGCCCTCTTCACAGATGAAGTCCGGTGACCAGCATGAAGGGCTCGTGAGGCATCCCGAACTTCACTGCCTTTCCACTTAATCTACTTCCACTATTGAGCCAGGTATTGCGAAGTATATTCGCGGTCGCCTCTGAAATGTCATATATTGTTACGAGCAGAGTCAGGTTCAGTAGAATCTACTTGACAGGATCACGATTCCCGTCTCCATGATTTGTATACCTCAGTATCTACAACTTGGCCTTCAGTTTCAGCTTGCTCTCTGCCTGCTTTCTCTTTCGTCTCCAGCTCTCCAATCTTGGAGCCACCATATCACCCCAAATAACCAGCCATTGCGGATCAAATGCTGGCAACTTGCGTCCAGATGTACCTTCAACAGGCTCTCCAGCGATGCCCCTCAGAAACTCGAAGAAGCCTTCGTAGTCGGGCGCAATAGAGTAGTAATCCTTCCCTCCTCTCTTCTCATTCACACGTTGCCGTTCCCACTCTAGCTGATCCGGAATGGAGGGCAGTGCTTTCGCACGACCGGCAAGAAAACGAGCGATGGCTACGCTTTGCCACTCGTAAGCTCGAAATGTGAAGCCTCCTCCAAGCTGCGAGAATAAGTCAGCTACAGAAGCAGTTGAGAGTCAGAAGACTTACCATTCCAACGAAAGTTAGTGTTGGATCTTCAATATTCCACGTATGCTGATATACACCTGGAAGTCGGCGATAGGCATTCTTGACACGCTTCTGAACCGCAGGGATGAACGGGAAACTGAAGGTATAACCAGTCCCGTAAATGATATGATCTATGTTGTCAAGATACGAGCCGTCGGTGAAGTGCACACGGCCAGTCTCTGGATCGAAGCGTTGAATGGCTGGCTTGATGGTGATCTTAGGATGCTCGAAAGGAACCCAACCAAAGGCTGGAATGGGCTGGTCTCTGATGGAAGCGTAGACCTGCCCATCCACGACATCCAAGATCTCGTGAATGATCTCGATGGAGGAGACTGAAGCTCCAACCACAATAACTCGCTTTCATCGTCAGCGTGGCCTAACCCGAGACATCTGATGTCGTGCTTACCTTTCCTTTATACTTGGATCCTTCTCTGAAGTGTTTGCTATGCTGAATCGTGCTGGGAAACCTCTTATCGAATTCCAAGAGGCCTTCGACCTCTGGAAACCAGGGAACGTTGTAGTGGCCTGACGCTACGACGACAGCGTCGAATGTCTCTCTCCACCAGTAGTTTCGGCCTTTGAGTACTTTTCGAAGAGTTATCACCCACTCTCCACTCTCTTTCTCGACTCTCTCAACTGCCGTTTCCAGCTCAAGCAGATTGTCATGACCACCACGAGAAAATATGCCCTCTATCCATTCACGGACAACAGAGTGATGCCGAAACAGCGAGTCTGGTCCATACTCATCCAGAGTCTTCTGTGAGAGCTTCTTGGGAAAGGGCTCTTGAGTGTAACTCATAATCTCAGGCGCAATGTTGCTGTGAAGGTTCTCATGGATCGGGGTGTCCGAGAATCGGTGTTGATGGCTGTTTACTACCTCGGAAATTGCTGTAACAGCTGGTAGATTCCCGGGAACAGTGACTTCATTGTCAGCCTCTCCATTAACCAGGTTCTCCAAAGAGGGGATTCCTGGTGGCAGATGCGGTGTATGAATCCTAATAGACCGTGAGAGAAATTTCTTTCCAGAAGGAGAATGCTTCTTACCAAGTTCCTCCAACTGCAGACCGGCGGTCGAATACCCGGATAGTATCGAATGCTCCCTCCTTGACAAGCGCATCAGTTGCGATGGCGCCAGCTGGACCAGCTCCAACTACAGCAACACGTCGGATTTTATGAGGCATTTGTGAGATGAGGAAGTTTACGAGAGATATGGAACACAGATTACTCGGAAAGAGTAACAAAGATAGGCTATGCCTGATATAAACGGAGTTGACTACGAGGAAGTCGGGGCAATTAGATCCGAAATCGGGTTGAGACAATTACGCCAGATGCACGGTGATTGCGTTCATGCATAACACTGCAGCACGCAAGAGCTCCAGGTTCTTCATGATTCTATTGACCAAGGAGCGGGGAAGTTCTCAGATCGATATCTTGTGTTGCCATGCCAATCTTATCAACGCCATATGTATCAGAGGACCAACAATACTCGTCGATATTCAATTGACCTCGATGATCCCTCTACTAATGAACCAGCTGAAGTATTATCGTCAAGACAGATCTGACATGTCCAATCTCTTTAGCTATAAGGATGACTCCACTGGTAAGCTATCTCCTGTTGCGTGATCGGGGGTTAATAGCACGCAAACAAATGGTCGACAGTTCACGAATCATGTTTAAGGAAACGCTACTACCCATAGAAGTCACACCATCTTAGTAATATGTCCTCTGGGAGCAAGAAAATACAAGACCTAAGTTTAAGGTAATAAAATAAACTCTATAAAAGGTATCCTAAACTTATCCTAAATTTATACCAAGTCACCTAAGTCTTTTTATTAGTTAGGCTCAGGGTCCCGAGTTTTATTTCCTCCCCTAGCATGTGCTGTAAATGATTGTGTCTTATCATCTTGAGGAAGACTTGGCTTTGACGAAATGGCATCACAACCCTTCGGGCTTCCTGCTACATTGTTGTCTTGGGCCTGCATCATCCTGGACAGCCAAGCTTCACTATATTCCATCAATTAACAATAATTTTGCCGTTTAGTCGAGATTCCCTGATTATGTGAGACCATCGGCTTGCATCATTCCATGATATTTGGTAGTACCTCGGGGAATCGTACTTGAACTCTAGCGAAGCGAAATTGGGAGCTTTCTGTAAGCATGACAGACATCTCAAACTAACAATTGAACTTCTAGTAAGAGATGGAACTGATACAATATAATATCATGTCGCCGAACCATATGCGCGAACAGTGTATGGCACCAGGATCATCATCTGACATAGTTTTCTCAAAGCCATAGCAAGTGCAAAGCTGCTCATGGCCTCGTGCCATATTGAACAGTGTTGTGAAGGCTTAATTAACAGGGCCTCACTATCTAAAAGATTATACATATCAAGTAGTATCTTATCAGTGTAGTGTACAGAGTTAGAAAGTCCATAGTGACGAATGATACGTTAGCAATAGGCCATGGCGTAGACCGAGGCCTCAGTTGGACCAATCAATGGCTATGATATATACTGCCGCAAAGTCTCATGGACTATATAATAAGTGATCTTGATGTCAAAGCCTTGTTGTATTGGGTCTCATGCGCCACACTACTGCTTCGTTAACGCTGATATGAAAGACATCACCCAGCGACCTTCAGATTTCATCACGAGCTTTGGGGCCAAGCGAATCGAATGAGGTCCTGGGCCGTTCATGAAAACAGTGTTCCCATACACCTTGTTTTCTAGACCCCCTCCGCGTCGGACACATCGACTTGGGTCCGACATCGCAATTTCAGAGGCGGCGCTCCCTTGCCAGCTTCCGTATCATCAGAGTTCGAATCCGAGGGCGATGGCTTTCAGTTTCAAGGGCGCTGGTTCGAGGCGGGCATCAGGTGCCCAGGCCTTGTGACCTATGCAGCCTCCCTGGCCGGTCCGATAGTCTCGTTCGCCCTCCATATTTAAGGTTCTGTGGCAAGACATTCACGATGTAGGCTCAACTGCTGAACCCCTCCATTGTATCAATGTCTGTATGTAAGGACTGCATCATAGTTCCTTGAGATGGACAGTGTGATCACTTTGGGGAATGAGGCGCAGAGGAAGCCATAGCTCACGAAAACAGTCAAGTTAGGCCCAAGGACCATTTGCGTCTCGTTACCACCTTGATCGCAGAGTTACTGAAATCAATCGTGGCTCTAATTTTAACATTCGGTATTGAGATCATGGGGTCAAGGAGGATGAGAATTAATTTCGCTCCCACCGTAGCAATACGATTACGCGTGCCGATATGCGGTGCCCTTTGCATCGACCCAATCTCGATTCATGACCAACTACGGCAATCTCCTATTGTCAAAGCTACCATCAACATTCGGTAATGGCTGGCGGAATGTTCAATAGTCAAAAGCCTCCCACCAATTCACAGCGATTGGTGACGTGGAAAGGTTGGAGGACGACGTAACAATGCTATAGACATTACCAGCACATTCTTTGTTAGCAGCTCAAAACAAAGTGGTGTGCAATCTTAGAATGCTACGGCAAATCAGGCACAATAACTGTCTATGGATGGTAACCCACCAACAAGTGCTGCATCACTAGCGCTACACACAAGCATTCCAACACGAAACAAGACGGTGTGCAGGTGAAGGGTGTAGACTGATTGGCCTCCCTGGTTCTTGTGAGGGGTTATCTCTTCTCCAACTGGAAATCTCGATTTAAGCTTTCGGTGATATCACTACCGAGCTGCCCCAGGACTTTCTTGTCCGGGGCGTGCAACTGTAAGCACGGTCTTTGTCGATCAGGTGCCGGCTTATCACGGTATCCCGGTCCGGCTTCAGCCTCACCTTGTGGTGTGAAGGCCTTATCATGGTGTGAGGCAAGATCGCTGAAGCTTGTTATCTCTCGACCGAGCATTCACCGCTTGTTTGTTCAGATCATGTCACGATGGTCAAGGAAGCTTTTGTATTAAAGTAAAGGTCTTGATTTCTATCTAAGAAATGCTGCAGGATGCAATAGTATAGCTAATTAAGCATCTGCTGGGTCATAATCTGTCATGAATAAACAATGCAATCTTGTGTAAAATAGCAAAACTCGCTTTTATCTTGTAAATCCTCCCATGTAATCCAAATCAATCAGTAAGTCCATTCCCATGTCTAAACAACGATGGCCTTGTGCGCTGGCCGGATGTCAATGCCCGATGAGTAGTTGGCAGAGCTTGTGGCCTTGGAGTTGATGGTAGTCTGGGGAGCCTCCTGCTGGGCGGGCCAGATCTCGTGGCCGACCTCTTGCTCCTTCTTGTGGTGGTTCTGGAGCTGCTCTCGGATGCTCTGCTGGAAGAAGAGAGGACCCTGCTCCATCTCGGGGTGCATCTCACCGTTGATGAAGACACCAGCGTTGACGTTCTTCTGGGCGTTGGCGCAGAGGTACTTGTCCTCAGACATGACACGCTTGTAGAGCTCAGTGATGAGGTTGAAGTCCTCGTCGCTGGAGTTCTTGTTGCGGAAGAACTCGTATCGCATGATGGAGCGGGTAGGGCTGAGAGGAACGAAGCGCTGGATCATGAAGAAGTGAGGAGAGATGTTGGTGGAGGCATTGGGTAGATAATATGTGACAGCGATGCGGAATCCGCGGTCAATCTGGTCCTGTCGCTGGGCACCAAAGTGCTGGATGTAAGACTTCTGTGTCTCGACCCAGTAAGAGTTGAGGTCGGCGATGGTGGGGATATCAGGGTGAGCGACCTTGCAGTGGTAGCACTCGTTGTAGTTGTCGGCAAGAATCTTCCAGTTGTAGTCGCCCTCCATCTGCCAGACGTGGTCAAATTGGTAGTCGTCAAAGTTGTAGTGAGAGAAGCGCTCATGTGTGTCAAGGTTGTCAAAGTCATCCTCCCAGGCGATCTCAGGGGTCTTAGCGCCGTCCATGTTGATCCAGATGAAGCCACTTCTTGGAGAAGATGGCGCGCTTCTCAAGCTCGTACATCTCGACTGAGGTGTACCATGAAGCGGGAAGAGCACGAACGGCGCTCTTCTCAGTGACAGGGCTGGGAGCGGGAGCAGCAGAGCCGCCGAGGCCAAAGTATCGTTTCAAGAATGACTGGGCCATTGTGAATGTGATTGTGTGTGAGAGAGAAGAGGAGGAGGAAGAGCTGGATATCTTGATGAAGATAAGAGTGAAGATGTGAAGACAGACAAGAGATAAGGACTCCAAGTCTTATATAAAAGTCTTGTTGGTTGGAATGGTAGAGTAGTGATTGTTGATGATGATAATAATTCGATTGAGGTTGGATCTAGACGTCTTCTAAATACTTCTTTTGCATCTGGTGCATCTGGCACATCTGAAGCTAATCAGGGCGTGTCCATACTCTATCGCCAACATTGAAACCACCCCCTTGCCACCTGATACCTGACGCGCCGTCTCGTCTCGATAGATTGAGTTGTTGCTCGCAATCAGGTGGCCCTCTGTTCCGGTGTTGGCGACCGGTCACATGATCGGACAGGCTATCTTTGGGGCCCGGCTAGCAACATTCACCCCCTTTGACAAGCCATGTCCGGCCTCAATTAGACCCTCCAAGAGTCATAGATGACGGCCTCTTAGTTAATGTTAGTCTGCGCGTCAACTTCTCGATTAGGGGTCTTGATGTTGTCTACGCCACGGCTTAGGTGTATTGTGTTCCCCCACGTCAAAGCAAACCAACCTCCGTGTCTTGGTGATGTTGCAATTAGACCGTTCCGGACCTGCAGATGCCCAGACACGGAGCAAGGTCTTCGAGTTGAAGATCATGAATTTCTAGAAACCGGCAGTTCCTTATCGGAGCTTCGAAATTGATTATTTTTGGCATTTCGGTTCAAGTTGCTGCTTTCTCGAATCCTCAGAAGCCCTGGACAAGGCTGAAACAGAATTCGGTCTAAATGCTCCCGAGCACATGATCGGAGGTGACGAAACATTGATGTCTGCATTGCTTGTTCCTGATGGACTTCAAATGCCGGTGCAGTGACCGCCTGAATGGTCATACGGACACAGCGATTTCGTAACAACATCCTCAATCGCTGCAACGCTTTCTTGTCAATAATCATAATGGAGACGGCGGAGACCGATTGATTGCAATTGCTGATACATGACCGCAAAAAATCGATAACGACGCGTCTAGTCTTCAGCTAGAGAGTGATCACTTCTCGAGGAGAAGCAAGTTTAGGCGAGAGTTGTAAAGAGCTGGAGCTGGTCTGTGCCGGCGAGTCCGGGGTATGGCTAAGCGGTTTAAGTCCTATCGTTGAGCTAACCCAAGATGGTAGATCTAGGCCGGGACCCCGACTCCAGAAAATAATGGACTCAAAACTCCATCACGGGAAATATTTCGTGGTAAGATCAACCGATGGCTCGTGTATGGGGTCGCCGCTTGATTCTCCCCTCGGGGGTCCGGGGCAAGCCCAGGCGAAATGAGATTTTCCCGCTTGATCTTGCTCTTCTTCATTCAAGAATTCATTGAAGCGCGGCGCTATCAATGGTAGGACTTTTTGGGTAAGAAAACGAGTCACAATGGGGAGTGAAATTGACTATCGTGAGTTTACCAATCCCGCGGGAACATGGGTTTTATTACACGAACAGCGAGCCATAATCCTCTTCAGATGAGCAGAAAAACGTAAAGTAGATCGTATGAGTAACTATTGGAAATGAGTTCAGAATCATTCGTTTTCTAACGATAAGTGACATCAGAATCGTTCAAGTTGCGAGATGCTCTCTGAATAGTTGCTCGTTCTGGCTTAACGGTTGTTAACAGCAAGGCACGGATCATCTCAAACTTGGAAATATCGTCTTCTCACAAGACAGTATCAATGATAGAATCGTACGAGAGTACTGAAAGAATCGTATGTTGTGAAACGATTGAAAGAAATGTCATGCTGGACCAATAACTTCCCAAGGACACAAATTGAAACTTGTTGTATATACCAACTGACTTCCTGCCTTTCACTCAAAACTTTCTTCTTCCTCTTCTCAGCACCTCGAGATAACTTTATAGTCCTTGAGTGCGACTATTGAAGCAGTTCCGGCTATCATACATTTCAAATGCACGTTTCACTTGTCACAGATATCATATGGGATATTTCCACTTCAGAACACAAACAGTCAATGAAAGAATGAGATATCAAGAACATTACTCAAAACTACCCTGAACCTCTTCGACGACATCATGATGGACAACGACAAGCTCAGGCACGGATAGTACAAGTGAGATGAGCCTCACCGTGATCTTCGTCAACTCTTACCCTACAATGAACATCTCGATCTAGCTATCGACGCCATGTTGCTCTCCTTCCTAACTACGTAAGTGAAAAGAAACCCACTAGAAACCGCAAGGAAGTGAGCCAAACACTTGACATGGAACAAGTTTTGGAACATCTCTGCTTGGTTCAACGCGTCACCTGAAGATCTGCCGTTAGCCGCCGATGATGGAACTCAAGATAACACCAAGATGCTGAAAATAGACCGAAATCGGCAGGATTTACACATTTCGAGCATGTTGCATGATCACGACAGCTTCTCGAAGGCATTGATGCTACACGTGGGGGATGTGTTGGTATGGCACGGTTACGCCACTCCGGGGTTGTAGATATCACAAAGACGGTATCGAGGACCGGGCGCTGTGTCACATCACGATGGTCTCTATCCCCTGACATCTCGATGGTCAAATGATAGGATAAGAAAGGACTAGCGACGCGAGGTAGAGTAGCATTGGCCATGTGTTGGTGCCTGGGCCTCCATCTGGCTTCATCACTTCTGGGGTAGGGATGACGAGTGCCGGCATTCTCTATCCATCGCATTGCCACGCGTGCCAGCAAAAACGTCGAGACCACCATCTTT